CCAGCTCGTGGGAGCAGGGGTATGAAGCCTCCTCCCCTACGTCCCCGGCAGGCTCTGGGTGGAAGCCAGCGGTGGGCCACTGTCAGGCGTGGGGTGAGGGTCGCGGACTCAGAGCCTCTGCCCCCGCCCTCTGTGCCCAGGCTGGCAGGCTGGCCAGGCAGGGACTTGGCCGTTTGTCAGCGATTCAGTGACTTCAGGCTGATGGGGTCTTCAACCTTGGCACGTGGGAGTGGACCATGAACACAGACACACGGGCTGCTCCCTCGGCTTAGGGTCCGAGGAAGCCAGGATGAGGGGGCCTCATGGGCCAGATGGCCTGAGCTGCTGCCGTCCACTCCCGGGACTCGGGGAGGCACAGCTACTCTCTAAGCAGGTCCCACTCCAGGCACCTTGGGGCAGCCCCCTGCGACGGGGTGGGCCAGCCCCAGGAATCGGAGGGAGGGTGAGGCCGGCCACGACGGGGTGCGGGAAGCTCCCTCTCCCCAGAGACCAAGTGTCCCCCTCTGTTCCACCAGCACGAGGACCTCGGCAGGGCCCCAGGCTGTGGGCCTCAGAGGCAGGGGGAGGGCCGGTGGCCTGGGCCCAGGGCGTGTTGGAGCCGTGCCTTGGGGGGATCACAGGTCTGGCTGAGGGGAGGGGCCGGGACCGCAGCAGGCACCTGGCCGGCCATGCCAAAACACCGTGGAGTGTCGGGAAAAGCCAGCATCCACACCGTGGTGCTCGGGAGGGGAGAGGTGTGTGTGCACCTGCCCGTATAAGCGAGGCACCAAGGGATGGGAGAACCAGGGACAAACAGACCGCGACTGTACCATGCAGTCCTGGCCAGCTCCTGCAGCCGTCCGCCCGGGCCCGGTGTGGGAGAGCTGTGAGCACCTCGCCGGGCGGCAGCGCATCCAGATAGAGGCAGGCGGCCCGGCCCGTGAGGGAAGGCCCCGTCGTGGGTGATGCCAGCTTTCCACCCAGGAGCACTGAGCCTCAGGGAGGCCAGCACCCGGCCTGGTTAGCAAATGGGGTGGAGCCCGGGGCACGCCTCTCCCCAAGAGCGGGCTTGTTTCTGGCCACATCTCAAGTCAGCCTCCCCATGTGGCCTCTGCCAGTCTGGGCGCAAAGGCCTGTCGCCCCAGAGCCTGCGGGACCCATGCGGGCTCTGTCTCCCCGGCTGCCTCTCCACCCAGCCTTGGGTCGGGCACGTCGGCCTTAGTTGAGCCCCTTGAATGTCCCCACCCCCCATCCCAAGCGCCTTCACAGGTGAGGACTTTCCCTCTGCCGGAACACCGCCCTGCCTCTCTTCTGGCTCCCTCCTCAGCCCTCAGGTCTTAGCAGTCTACCCCTTCTTCCAGGCAGCCCTCTGGATTCCCCCAGGCTATCTTCGATGCTTTTTTCTGTGTCTCGTAGCACTTGGCGAAATTAGTTCAGTGACCGTTTGTGTCAAGATGTAAGTGAGCCAGCTCCCTGCTGGGGTCACCAGCAACTAGTTCACAGCTGGTGTTCAATGAACACTCTTTGGGTGGGTGAATAAGTGAAGAGGCATGTCCTGCAGTCGGTCATTGGCCCCCAGAGGAGACAGGTCCTCAACGCCTGGCCCGGGTCCCGGCTCATGGTGAGCTCCGGACAAGTGTCCTCTGGAAGAATGAGGTTCCGGCTTCAGGCCTGCGACACTGTCGGCCCTAGGATGGAGAGCACGCCCGTCCCCCCCATCAGGGACACACTGGTTTCCTGGGAACATTATGGACAGGCCTGGGCAAGGAATGCCTCTGCGTCCCCAGGTGCTGCGAGGTCCACTCTCTGTGGGTCAGCGCTCTGGCTCCCAGGCGCCTTGTGCATTGTCTCTGTGTTGTGACACCAGCCAGGCGTCACGGCCTGGGGCACACAGCAGGTGCTCGAGAACCATTGGCTGGAAATGTGCCCAGGGCAAAGGACGAGCTTGGGAGGTGTTTCAGGCCAGCAGCGGGCAGGGACCCTAAGGCCAGCGGTGGTGAGGGATCCCCTGGGAACACACCCTCGGGTCAAAAGCCTCCTTCCTGGGCCCCAGGGCTCCACACGGCGGGCTTGCCTTGAGGACGTGGAGGTGATCCTCTCTGCACAGGGTGCACCACCCTACGCCCCATTCTGCTGTACAGCCGAGTGGGGCCGGCCCCGTCACCCCCGCATGCTGGGACCCACCTACACCCTGAAGTAAGCGGGGTGGAGACAAGGATCCGCTTCAGGGCTGAGGAAGACTATCAGAAAATGTCAGCGCTAGGCGAACGTGGCCAGCTGGTCAGCCAGGGCGACAGCCCGGGCCTCTCGTGCCTCAGCCCTGGCCAAGCCATCTTTGCCGGAAGGGCAGAGGCACAGTCCCCAGGAGCTGCAAAGCCATGGCCAGAACATTAGCCGCCTCGTGTGTGAAAGGAACTGAGGGTGTGCACCCGAGAGCTCGGCAAGCAGGGAATAGCGTGGTTCATAGGAAGGAGCACTGGGAAGGGAGTCCAGACCCCAAGTCCCGGCCCAGGTCTGACTCACTCGCAGAGGGCCTCGGGATGCCTGGGAAAAGATGTCCCTTCCTGCCCGGGACCCTACGGCCCGCTCTCTCTCCAGATCCCGGCCTTTTTTTTCTCTTGTCGACGAGGGCCCAGTGTGTGTCTCTAATAGCCACCCTGCTGCATCCGCGTACTCGAGTCAAAATGGACATACGGGATGCGATCTCTCACCTCCCTCCCTGGGTCTGCCGCCGTCGCTTGCTCAAGGCCACCAGCGAAGGCTTGGGACGGGGGTGACCGGTCGACGGAGCCGTGAGAGCGCCAGGGGGTGCCAATGCAACACGTGTGTTTCTGTTTCAGGGCGAGTCACAGTGACTCCAGCATTTACGTCCGGCAGCACGCTAATAGCTCTTTGGAATCGGTTAGTATGTGAATTTCTTCTTGCGCCCTGCAGTCTGTGCTAATTGGTTCCTTTCCATCCTTCCTCCTCCCCAGCCCAGAGCTTTGAACTTACTGGCGTGCAACACCTTGCTTTGGGATAGAAGACACACACATAGAAACCTTGGCGTTCAGCGCTGCCCAACCGGATGTCCGGTCTGGGCAATAACGGATGTCAATAAAGTGATGATTTTGAAGCCCAAAGGCCTCCTTGTTATGAAACGCATGCAAGGCGCTCCCCGCGACCCTGCACCCACCCCCAGAGAGATCCCGCTCAGAGACGGGCCGAGGGTCCGTGGTGCCCTCACGAGGGCTTAGTGTCTCCAGATACGAGGGGACCTAAGTCATGCGGGTGGGGGGCTCCCGTTTCCACGGGGGGATGCTCCGGTGGGGGGGGTGGCGTGGAGTGTGTATCGCTTAACAGTTTGGTTTCGGAACGAGATGTTGACAGTATTGAACAAAGCGTGGCACGCTCGGCTTCGTGTATTTAAAATCATTCTGTCTTCTGTTTCAGAATTTCGTCTTTACTAATTGGGTCGTGGGGGTTCTGTTTATAAATTTCACTGTAGGATCATTTTAGCTATGTTCCGTGGCGGAGCGCAGCCGAGCTGGATGACAGAGGGAACCGAACGTTAACCAGGTGGGTGGCTGGATGCACCTCCAGGCTTGGGAGGGCTTAAAGCAAATTCGTACTCGCGGTGCAGCCTCCCTTGGGGGTGGTTATGCTCGCCTGTGCCTCGACGGTGACAGTGTTCACAGTGGTGGGGTGATGCTGGGAAATACTTATTTCAGGGGAGTTGAAACCATTCATAACACGTGGGAGGGCGAGGTAGATGCGCAGTGACACTGACAGGCACCGTTCAGAAAACAAGCAAGTTCAAAGACAGGCTGGGACGCCGGGGCTGCAGCCATGTCTAGGGACGTGCGGGCACCAGGCGGGTGTCAGAGGTGGGGCCTGGCAGGAGAGGTGGCGGCCGTGCAGTGCCGTTCCCTGACAACCGTGTCCGTTCTGTGTCGCCCTGCAGGTACAATGCTCAGAAGCTCACTGAGCTGATTTTACAGTTTTATGGCATCAGAGCAGACATGAAGCGGGTGTGCAAACATGCCAAGACATCTATGGAAGTATTTCCTATGCCCAGACCCCGCCCGCCCGCTCGTGTCGAGGAAGGGCCGTAAAACCCCCACTAGAAGCAGAAACCAGAAAGCCTCTCAAAATCGTATAGTTCTGAGATGTCCCCATCCCCATGGAAGTTCTAGAATCACTGGTTTTTTTTTTTTTTTTTACTTTTTGCCCCAATTTGAATTGGCATGGAAGGACGTGGGTTTCTGGAATGGAAGCCTCTGTCTGGACGTTGCCCCGTACGCAAGAGTGTGTCCTCTGGTTTCTACAAAAGAGGCAAGACAAGCTTCCCTAACGCACCATGAAATGGATTTTTTTTTAAGACAGTGTCTCGCTCTGTCACCCAGGCTGGAGCACGGTGGCACGATCACGGCTACCGCAGCCTCGACCTCCCGGGCTCAGGCGATCCTCCCACGTCAGCCTCTCGGGAAGCTGGAACTACAGGCACGAGTCACTGCACCCAACTAATTTTTTTACATTTTTATACAGACGAGGTCTTGTGTTGTCCAGGCTGGTCTTGATCTTTGGACCTCAGGCGATCCTCCCACCTCAGCCTCCCAAAGCACTGGGATCACAGGCATGGGCCACCACTCCTGGCCCCTAAAATGGAAAGAGGAATTCAGGTTTTCAGCTAGGCTGGACAGGCTCATACGAAAATAATACCTCCTGCTCTCATGAGACGGAGATGTTGAAAAATCTTGAACCCGAAGATTTGAGAAATGCAGGCGTTTTCCATTTTTTCTACACTGAGCATGTGTTACCTTTGTAATAATACATAGAATTCCCATTTTTTCCCCGTTTTTTCCATGGATGGTTTTTAAAAGCGAGAAAGAGGTTCGTTCACTGACTGTCATTGGCACAGAGTGATCTTGTAGGGGCAGCAGACGTGTGATCCATCCACCCCTCGCTCTTGCCGTCAGGGATAGTTCAGGGACCTGTGGCTTTGGCTCCTGGTCATCTCCGTCACACGCCCGAAACCACCCTAAGAAGCTTACGCTCCAGGCTCCTCTGTGTGCAGCTCCGAGCACAGCCCTGACCCCAGGTGGCTCAGGGTCCCCGCCCCAAGGGCCCCTTTCCTTCGTGGAAAGACGGGTCTCAGCTGGGTGCCTACCCTCCTTCTCCTTCTGGGCTTTTCTGCTATCCAGCAGGCAAAGGCAAAATGTCATTGTAACATTTTTATTATCCACAAAGTAGCAGCAGAAAAATTAACCAAAATCGAACTTGAAGGTAATATTCCAAAGCCAAAAATAAGACCGGGGGAGGGTCTTAGTGTATTCATTTCGGAGGCCTGTTTGGAAACGGCCTGTTGTCAGGGAACCTTCCACCCTCCAGATGACTTGGAGGGGGTCCCCTCCGTGGCTAACAGCAGCCATGGCTTGGCAAACTCTCTGAGGGCGCTGGTGCCCGGGAAGAGGTCCCAGGAGCCGACTCTGTCACAGAGTCCGTGTGTGGCCCTGGGTGGGTCACTCCCCGGGAATCTCCGTGTGCCCATCTGCGAGATGGGGCTGCCACCTCTCCTTGCTGGTGCTGGGGAGACAGACCACTGTGAGTGTGGACGCTCTGGGGCGCCTGTCTGGCCCGGCCCGCTGCCTTGGTTCAGGACACGAAGCCCCGGGGTCTCCAGGAGGGCAGTGACACCGGAGAGGGGATTAGCACTGAGTGGAGCCCGCTCTTGGGGGACCCGCTCACAACTGCCTTTCTGTCTCTTTTTCTGCAGGAAGGCCAAGAAGTTGGGAGCGGCCGCCTCGCCGGGGCACTGCCCGCAGAGCAGCTCCCTGACGCAGCTGGTCCAGCAGCCGGACACGTTGTATTTCATCCTCTTCCTCTGGCTCCTGGTGTACTGCCTGCTGCTCTTCCCGCAGCTGGACGTCGCCAGGCTCTGACACAGACGTCTGTGTCACACAAAAGCCAGGTCCTGACTGGCGGGGATGCTCCTCATCCGTCATTTTCCTCGGGGTCCGGGTGGGCGCCCGTGCAGGCGACCAGGACCCCGGGCACACCTGGACCCCCTTGTTGTGCTTTTGTTTTCCCGAGCTTCCTCCTCCTCCTGTGCGACCCAAGCATGCTCTTCTCTTTGACTGTACACTCAGAACTCAGGCGTTTCATGGGGGGGACAGACCCTGGGGGCAGCAGGAGGGAGTGTTGTCCTTGGTGCTTTGCTGGGTCACACCGGAAGCATCGGTGCCGGCACCGAGGGCCACAGCCTGGGCCACAGCTGCAGCTTCTGAAAGTGTGGAGGGACTTGCTGACCTCCCGGGGCGGTTCTGCCTGGTGAGAAGGAGGGAGGGCGCCCGGGCCGAGCTCCCCCAGCTGTGTGGGGCAGGGGGCGTGGGGACCTGGCACCTGTGGCCGTCTGGCGACTGATTGCAGGCGGGGGGAAGGCCTGAGCTGCAGGAAGCTGGCCGCTCTGGGCAGACACATCCGGGGACAGCACGACCCAGGGAAGGAGTCTGCGGCTGCACTGGGTGCCACCATGCCCTCTTTGTCACTCTAGTTTTTGGGGGGGATTGGGGTGGGGGATGCACTTTTAACTCACTTTTGCACGGATTGGACTGAGGTGGGGCCGTGAGGCACAGACCCTTGCCCCCTGTGGGACCCCCCTGTCCAGGGAAACCGGAGAGGAGCAGTCCAGCCAGTGCTGAAAGCCAGAGCCCTGGAGGTCTGGCGGTGGGAGCAGGGGGGTGGCTCTGATTCCTCCCCATGTGGCCTTGCCGCCGTCTGGCTTTGGTGACTGTAGCCGAGGCTTCCATCAGAGCCCAGCGGAGGGGCAGAGGCTGTGTGGGGTGGTGGGTTCCTGCTCACCAAAGCTTTGCCCACACCCACCCGGAGAGCATGTCTCAACCCCGGCGTCCTTAGTGGCCGGTCGTCCTGGGTTTCTTGGAAAGGCTTTCCAGAGAGCGCCCCGGTGTAGACCAGAGCAGGCGGTTGGTGAGAGGGAGCAAAGGCATTCCGTCCACCCTTCCACCCACTTCAGCCCTGGGCTCCCGCCTCCCTCTCCCTGCCAAGACTCAGGCCGTGGACAGCACAGACCTGTGTGTCCAGAGGGGCCTCAGAGGGCACCCCGGGTAGCTGACCCAGAGAGGCAGAGCAGTCCGTGGCTGGCACTCCGTGGGGTGCGCCACTGTCCCGCGAGAAGGAGGGGGCGTGCCTAGATTCAAGCATCCTTGTTCAGACCCAAGATGCTTGAGGCCAGCTGTGCAGCCCGTGTTCTCACGTTCCTCCGCGCCTGTTCCCGAACACCCTCGACAGCTGTAACCACGTGTCGTTCGACAAACCCACAGCGTTCTCACTCCAGGAATTGCATTTCTTTCTGAGCCAGCCAAGAACCTGCTCGTTTTCAGCAGCGGGGTTCAAGTTGACAGCATTCCAGCTGGCCAAAAGCCATCCCATAGCACATCTGAGTCGATGACAGCCAGAATCTGGCCTCTAGACCAGTCTGATGAGAGGCCGCCTCCCCTCTCCCACAGAATCTCAGCCTTCCGAGTCAAAAGCTGCGGGGAGCTTGGAATGATTCCGTCTGGAAGGCCACGCGCCCGGCGGAAAATGAGCTAATGAGTGCTCGTCCCTGGCATCACGGAACGGTCCGAGACACAGATAGTCAAGATGACGTGTGTGATGTTTTATAACCCCGGGCACCGTGCAGGCTTTGCCTCCGTTAGACGCTGGAAGAGCCAGGGACGAGCAGACCCAAATGAGAATCACTTCATTTTACGGGCCCCGACTGTGTCCAGAAAAGTCTCTGGCGGCTTCTTCTCTCACCTATTACAACTTGTAATATTGTTAAAATGCTATTGGCAAGACGCCCCAAGCCACTTGGTTCTGCTTGGCAGGAACTGATTTTTTTTTTTTAAAGGGAAAAAAATCTCATTTGAGTGTAGGCTCGTTGGAAGAAGCTGGCTGGAAAGTGGTTGTAGACTTCTTCAGGACAGGCCACCCCGTTGTTTCTCAGGGCTTTTCATTAAAAAATACCGTAAGGCTCTTCACAAGCGCCAGCCATCCCCGACCTCCTGCTCCCTGTAAGTAGCCACGTTCAGCTCTTTGACCTTTGCCCTTTGCCCAATCTGCCCACACTTCATTTTTTGAATTAATGGAGAAACGACCACTGGCTTCATGCTGCAGCAGGTGAGGATTTCGTGCCCACCCACCACCTGTTTTGTTTCTCCAGGATAGTTTGAGCGCACGGTTTGGTGCATCTCTCCTCAGAGCCGACATTACCTGGAGCAAATACGGACTTGACCTTGACTTCTGAGCCAAGGAGTGTACTATGGTTACATGTTCTCTCTTGTCAGACTTCCCCCCCTTGATTTGCTTCTCTTTCTGTCTCTCTGACAGTCTCTGACTCTCTCTGTGTCTCTGTCTCTGTGTGTATCTGTCTCTCTATCTCTGTCTCTCTGTCTCTGTGTGTATCTCTATCTGTCTCTTTCTGTCCCTGCCTCTCTGTCTCTGTGTGTGTCTGTCTTTCTGTCTCTGTATGTATATCTCTGTCTCTCTCTGTCCCTGCCTCTCTGTCTCTGTGTTTGTCAGTCTGTCTCTGTATATGTATCTCTCTCTCTCCGTCTCTGTGTGTGTGTGTTTCTGTCTCTCTCTCTCTCTCTCTCTCCTCTCTCTCTAGTGCGGCACATTCTTTAATAACTTCCTGAGAAAGGGAACATGGAAAGTACATATTGTTGTAAATGTTTTGAGCCTTTTATACGCCTTAATTCTGCCCTTGAGAAGTGTGGCTGGGCACAGAATTGCAGGCGGATGGTGACACCCTCCCCCATGCCCCCGAGTGTGGTTGTTGAGATTTCGCCATGATGACCCCTGAGCATTTACATGTGGGTTTTTCCTGTCTTCCCAGAAGCATTTAAGATCTCTTTATTCTTGGTTTCCCGAACTGTCCGGCGGGTGTTGCGACCTTGATGTCATATTGTGTGCTGGGCTCTCGTGGGAAACATCTTGCGTTTTCCTGTAATGATTCACACTCTTTCTTTCTGGACCACGTGTTGGAACTCCCAGGAAGATCCTCTGATATGTTTATCTTTTCGATCTTTATCTCTTTATTTTTCTGACACGCTTTCAGGAAGAATGATAGTTCCATCTTCCCAATAGGAATGTTTTCTTGAAATTTTAATTTCCAAAGAGCAACACTTTTTGTTATCATGCTCTTGTTTTTGTTTGATCGTGTCCTGTTCTTGATTCATGGATGCAGATCTTACCTCTCAGTGGATGGTGATGATGGTGTTTCGGGGGAAGTTCTTCTCTGCCCCATGTTGCCTTTGTGTCGTCCAAGCTCCTTTCTCTTGGTTGGTCTCTGTCTCTGTCTTTTGTGTTCCAAGTGTTCCTCGGACATCTGGCGATGTCTTCATGTCAGGACTGATGCCTCAGAAGGCTGATTGGCAGCTTGGTGTGCCAACTGGCGGACTCGTCATCAGGTGGGCACCTGGATTTATCACTGGAGAATCCGACATGTCAATATTTGCAGGTATTTTCTTTGGGTCTCATTCTGTTTCTTTAGAGATATTTTCACTACTTTTCCACCAGGAAAAGAGGGACATACACGGGGCTGCTACTCGCTCATGCAGGGCCCTTGTGCAGTTTGTCCCTGGGCCGGGCATGGTGGCTCACACCTGTAATCCCAGCACTTGGGAGGCCGAGGCAGAAGGATCACTTGAGCCCAGGAGCTTGAGATCAGCCTGGGCAACATAGCAAAACCTCATATCTACGAAAATAAAAATTAAGAAAATTAGCTGGTCATGGTGGCGTGCACCTGTAGTCCCAGCTACTCGGAAGGCTGAGGCGGGAGGATCACCCAAGTCCAGGAAGTTGAGGCTGCGGTGAGCTGCGATCATACCACTGCACTCCATCCTGGGTGACAGAGTGAGAGCCTGACTCTCCCCACCAAAAAAGCTGTCCCCTCTGTGTGGAAGCCACCACGAACACTTGGCCTGACTGGCAGAGGACACCTTTGCCACTTCCCCTGGCAGAGGCAGTTCTGATCCGGGGCACGGAATGAGGGGCAGCAGAGACTAGATTTTAACTCCGGTTGGTTCCTAGCCACGGGCTCCTCACTGGTGCTGAGCCTCTCACGGTGTTGCACCCACCTTTGCTGTGCCCGGTGTTTCCAGGCCGGAGCTTCTCTGATCTCTCAGCAGAACAAAGTGGTCACCAGGCTGCACGGCAGGGGTCTGAGAGCCAGCCGATGCCCTGCCTGCGTCCACGTCCCACCCACCTTTCCACGCCAGGTCCCCAACCTTCTCGGAAGCCACAGCCCGGCTCTGCGAGCCGCCCGGGACCTCATCCACGAGCAGGTGGCACTAGGGTCTCCGCCCTGCTCGGGCCTCCCCGGGTCTGGCCTCAGCGGTGGACAGGTGGCCACTCTCGCCTCCCGCCGTCCGCCATCCCTTGTCTTCGCGGCTGTGTCACGCCCATCCCTTGCTCTTGCTGGGGCCTCGCGAGGGATGAAACGGACCGTGTGTCCAGTATTCCATCCCGAGTCTTAAATCCCGTTTGCGATCCTCACCGGGGTTCGGTGGCCGGCTGGCCGTGGACTTGAGTGTGAACTGCCCTGAGCCCGGTGGGACAGGGGCCGCCCCCCTCCTGCAGAGCGTGGTCCATGGAGGGCCCCACGTGGTGCTGTGCCACGTGAGAGAGGGGGTGGATGACGGGAGCCGTTGCTTGAGTGCCGCAGTTACGGTCGTCTGGGTTCCCCTTCCCCTTGGCTTTGCCCCCGACCCCAGGAAATGGCCTCAGGTCTCCTGCCTCCCCCGAGATCCGGTCCATGTGGTTGCATTTCCAGGAAACAGGTCGTCCACCCTGGGGTTTGCCAACAAACAGGCTGGGTTCTCCGTCGATTGCCATTTGGAACTTGTTTGTATCTTGCCGTAAGCGTCGTCAGGGTTGGGACTGCCTGGTCCGAACCGACCTTGGAGGGGAGGGCTCTCCCACCAGGGCTCAGGATCAGGAAGTGCACTGCCACTG